TTGTTCACGAGACCAACACGAGGACTAGTGTTAATCTCGAATTATGCTTTCGATACATTTCAGTCAGTGCTTTTTATGAGTTGTGTTCTCCTTCTATAGACACTTAAGCCTGACAAAGATATTAGGATCAATAGAAGTAGGCGTTGTAGCTTAAATAGTTGTTTCTCAAGTGCAGTTTTTTCAGATTTCAATATTTGGTGTTGATCTGGAATTCCACTTTCGATATTTGATGTTGGTTTTGTTCAAAATTTAGTCATGTGAACTTTGTTTTGAGTAGTTTGTCTGTTTTTATTCTTTGACCTTTTTTAACTGCATAATTTTTTAAACAAATGAGAACTCATTGTTGTTAGTTGAGTCTGTATGTGTCTATTGTTGTTATAAATAAACAATTTCACTAATTTTCACTCTTTTGCAGGAAAAATATCAAGAAATATTACAGAACCAAACACAAACTCAATCTGAAGTTGATCAATGGAAAGCATATTATCAAGCAGCGGGAGGGGAAAAGAAAAGAAGGATATATGGTCTTGGAGCTCAAGCAAAAGTATTTTATGGACCAAATTTTCGTGTCTCTTCTGGATCTGATGCTTCTGGCTCAGTACTATGTCCAAATGCTCAAACAACACCGACATAAAATGTGGATGAGTTAGTGGTGCGAATGATTCCTTCGCTAACTAATCACTTGCTTCCTATATTTGTAGAGCAGGTACGTGGTTTGATTTCTCCAGCCTCATCTCAAGCAGACTCAGCTACCAACCATCCATCAACTATTGCACCTGTAATTCCTGCTCCAACTGCAAAAAATATCGATGAGGATCGTGCATCGCTTTCTGAGGAATGATTGTGGCTCTCTAGTCTCTCTTAGTTAGTTTTTGATGGCTAGATTTTGTTGCAAATGCTTTCAGCTATATATTTTGCTTGAAATTTATCATTGGGGATATTTTGAACTTGGTAATATAATTTGCACTTAGCTATGTATTTTGGATCTTGTAGAATATTAATTTCTACGAATTAAGTTAATTTTATGATTATATAATATGTGTTGAAATGTGTATTTAATTACACAAATAAAAATATATTGATAGATTTGTGACAAATTATTTTCGTCGCTAAATGAATGGAGATGAAATTAGCAACAAAATATTTGGTCGCCCTATATGATAAAACGATGAAATAATATATAAAATGAGGGATAAAATTTAAAATACACGACGGATTTTTTTATCGCTAAAGAAATTGGTGACGAAATTAGCGACAATAATTTGGTCGCCAATATGTTGAGACGACGAAATAAGTTACAAGAACAACGACATAAATTACAAAAATAGTGACAGATTTTTCCGTTGCTAATCTTGACAACGGATAACTTTCGTCGCAAATCCGTCACTCAGTTTGTGACGGATTCAATTTTTTCGTCGCTAAATGGTTAGCTACGCGCAATATAGAGACGAACAATATTTTGTCGTTATTCCGTCGCTAAACCAAAATAGCGACGGAATAAGCTATTTACCGACCGATTTTGTTTGTCGCTAAACACAGTTTTTTTTGTAGTGGGACATGATGTATGGGCTAGGCCTAATCTCATTCTTATGTATAGATGGCTAATGAGACAATTGTTTAGACTTCAACTTTACTTTTATAAAATTTGGACTTGAAATGTTGTTTATATTTCCTTTGGTCTATTTCCTATGTTATGAATTCTAAGTGACTTGTATGGGGCCTCTCGGGGTCCTATACGCCATGTTATGCCTATGGGGTACCTTGGGTCATGACAAACTTGGTAATCTGAGCACAAGGTATAGAATTTTCCTAGGATGTCTCATACGCCACGTCGAGTAGAGTCTCGTTCATGAGTGTCAAGCGCGCCACATTTATAAATGAGAGGCTGCGAGATGTTTAGGAAACTCCACTTCTTTCATTACTTAAAATTCGTGCGATAGAGTTTAACTCTAGAAGGTCTCTCTCCTAATCCTTATTTGATGCTCTATAGGATATGGCTACTCGAAGAGCTTACGCTAGAAGGAATGCGGGAGAGAAAATGAATCGAGAAGCTCCTCCTAAAGCTCCAGTCGACCATTTGGTTGAGCAAGTGACTAATGCAGTGTTTAGGGCTGCTTTTCAAGTATTGGCTCAAGCCATAACGACCCAAGACAATAAGAAGGCTATTGTTCCCGTGACCCTAAATGTGGGTGATAGAAATAACGTTATCAAAGATACTTCATCCAATTCTAAATGATCGTTAATAAGTATATAACCCAACTAAATGAGTTGGGGTCGAATCCCACAGGGAGCGGTATGTATTTAAGATTCAATTTGGAAGTACGAACATGGTCAAATCAGTCATAGAAACAAACATTATCGAATAAAGAAATCATTCAAATTAAGGGGTTAAACAAATGTCAAATGGGGGGTTTTGGTTTTGTTTATCAACTACAAACATCGGCAAACAATACGAAATAACAATAATGAGACGGGTTCTTGGGATCTGATCGATTATAGGCTAATATATATACAAATGGGTAATTGCAACTATTAGAAAATAGCTAAATATTAGTGAGTAGGCTAGGCTGTAGTGGAGGTAAATTTTCTCACAAACAATTTACGCCAAATCAAGTGATTTCTCTCGAATATCAAAAAGCATGCAAAATAAGACTAGCCCACACCTTAATCCATTCAATCTCTCGAGCTGAATGTATGGAATTGGGTTTAAGATTCACTCTCTCGAGCTGAACTCTGGTAAACCCAATACCCACAAACCATCAATCAAAAACCTTAGTTCTAAAACCTCTCTCTCGAGCAAGCCAAGAACACAAAGCTTGAATTGTATTTGCAACTACAATTCTTAAAGTAAACCACAATTAACGATTAAACTCATTTTTAATAGCATTTAAACTAATAATTAGTAATACCCATAAGCTAAATCAGCCCATAATCACATAATCACACCCCAAGAATTGGGGTTTTAGCTAGACATCATAAAAAGGTAAAAATCGTTACCAAATTGATTATCAATCAACTGGGTAAGAATGATTTCGTCCTTACAATGCTCCAGTTTGAAGATTCTCAAAGACCCACTTCCAATTTCTCAAAAGTGAATTTCTTCAATCATTCAAATCTTAGGTAAAACTAGGGAAAACTGTCTCCAGAGCTAAAAACTTACTAAAATATTGTTCTAAAAAGTATTTTATACTAAACTAAATGTTCAGAAATGTATTTATAGTCGCAGAAAATAAGCTACGAAAGATAATTCGGCGAAGTAAGTCAGGCTCGCCGAACCACTCGGGAGAGCCGCCCTTTGGTCACTTGCATCGCCCTTCTGCCTTGCCATTCAGCATTCTCAAGGTCTATAACTTTGGGTGATCTATAATTGCATCACGGAACTAATCGGCGATCCGCTGACTGCTCCTTTCTCTCGCCGACTTGGTTTCTTCTCTTAGGGATTGGCACACTGAAACTTTAGGCGGTCAGATAGCCATTCAACGATTCACCAAATGAACCTGGCGAACACCAAGCTTCCTTTCTTCATCCTTTCAGTTTGTTTTGTTCCTTTTTTCTTATTAGTGTCGTTGCTTTGTTCCTCAATTCATATTCTTCAAAATCAAGGGTTTTACATCAGTTATTTTCACAAAATAAGCATATTGAGCACACTAATTCTATATAAACAAAGCCTTAAATCAGTCCAAATCTCAAACTCATCAACACCCCCAACTTAAACTTTTTGTTGCCCTCAAGTAAAATTCAAGTTCAGCAGTTCAAAAAGGATGTCTCAAACTGTGCTACAAAAGACTCAATCATGAATGCGCACAACAAGAGTCAACTTACTCATGCAAGGATCAATTGTGCACTCACAGATTCAAGTTGTGACTCACCATTATCAATTATGCCCAAGTTCACAATACTTGCTTCAAATGCAAGTTCAAGTTCAACAAAGGTACTCAAATGCTCTCACAACGAAGATGATTCCATATTCATACACAATTCTTCAACAATTTATAGTTTCGGAATAACATACAACTCTCACACTCACAAAGATGAACATAGCATGACTTCACCCAAAAGTTTTCCATTATTTTCCAATGAACATTCGTTTCAGTTCACTCAAATCAAAAAAGGTTTTTTCAAGGATTGTAACGGGGTTGAGTGTAAAGGTATGGTCCTTTACGATCAGTGGCTTCTATCCTCATGAAATGTGGTTTTAACATCACTTTTCTTTCTTTTCTTGAGCATTTTTACTCCTGCTCAAAATTCACCCCATTAATCAACTTCCAATGGAATACCGGACACCCCATTTCTTTTGGAACTTTCAAAACTTAGGGTGTGTTTGGTATGAAGGAAAATGTTTTCCTATAAAAAAAATTCCTGGAAAACAAGTTGATTTTTGACTTATTTTCTCATGTTTGGTTGGTGAGTAGAAAATATTTTCCGAAAAAGATTTTTAGTGTTTGATTTATGAATGATTCTTTTTTTGAGAAATATCTTTTATTTTTACTAGGGTTGAAAATAATTTTTGAAATTGAAAATATTTTTTCAAAACAAACTTAAATTTTTTTGGGGGTGGGGTGGGGGGTGGTAGGGGATGGATTGAGGGTAGGGGTGAAAAATTGAAATTTTCAAGTTGAAAATATTTTTTAAAAACAAACTTAAATTTATTTATTTTTTTGGGGGGGGGG